AAGGAATGAATTATTCATGAGAAAACACCACCATACTCACTTGAGTTAAATGGAGTGGTAGAAAGAAAAAAATAGAACACTTAAAGAAATAATGAATTCTATGTTAATAAGTTCAGGAGCACCCAATAACTTTTGGGGGGAATTTTACTATTTGCTGGTCATATCCAAAATAAGATACCATATAAGAAAATTGGAAAGACACATTATGAGTTATGAAAAGGACATGGACTCAACTTAAAATATTTAAAAGTGTGGGAGTGTCTACCAAAAGTGATGTTGCCTGAACCAAATAAAAGAAAAATAGGCTCTAGAACCTCATACTGTATGTTCATAGGATATGTTGAACATAGTGCTGCATCCAGATTTCTAGTGCTTAAGAGTGATGCACTTGACCTAATACCATAATCGAGACCAAAAATGGTAATTTCTTTGAGCACATATTTCCTCTAAAATCCAAGTTAGAGAAAATACCTCAAATTTCTTGTAGTGAGATTGAAAAGGAAACAATTGTAAATTCAAAAAGAGAATTAAGAAGAAGTAAGAGACAAAGGAAAGAAAATAATTATGGAGATGAATATTATAAATTCATAATAAATAATGATCCACTAACATATATTGAGGCTATTGGATCTCCAGACACATCATTCTAGAAGGAGGCAATTAATGATGAGATTATATCTATTATGAGAATTGCCTCTTGGAACTAAGACCATAGGTTGTAAATGGATGTTTAAAAAAAAACTTAAACTTGATGGATCAATTGAAAGAGTTAAGGCTCGATTGGTAGCTAAGGGCTATACACAAAGGAAAGATGTAGACTACTATGATACTTTTGCTCTTGTTACTAGAATCTCCTTTATTAGAGTTTTAATTGCATTGACTTCCATTTATAAACTTGTAATTCATCAGATGGATGTAAAAACTGCATTCCTAAATGGAGAACTGCAAGAGAAAATTTATATGCAACAACCTAAAGTGTGTATAATTTTTGGACAAGAAAATAAAGTATGCAAATTAGTAAAATCTTTGTATGGCTTAAAGCAATCACCTAAACAGTGACATGATAAATTTGATCAAGTATTGTTCTCTAATGGTTTTTCCATTATTACAGTAGACAAATGTGTATATACAAAATCTAAAAATAACCATCATGTTATTATTAGTTTGTATGTGGATGATATGCTAGTCTTTGGAACTAATTTGAAAATTGTAGAAAACACTAAAAAATTTCTCTCCTCTAATTTTGATATGAAAGATTTGGGTGAGACTGTCGTAATATTGGGAGTTAAAATAATTAGAAGAGAAAATGGCTTAATGCTATCACAAGGACACTACACTGAAAGAGTCCTTAAGAAATTTGGACATTATGATAGTAAATCAATATCTACACCAAATGAAGCTAACATGCACTTGAAGAAAAATAGAGGTGATAGTTTTTCTCAATTTGAATATGCACAAATAATGGGTAGCTTAATGTATTTGATGAATTATACATGTCCTAAACATTGCTTATATTGTTAGTAGACTTAGTAGATATACACATAGTCTTAACCAAGATCATTGGACTACTTTGATGAGATTGTTGAGATACTTAAGAGGTACCATGGAATATGATATTTTATATAGTGGATTTCCTGTTGTACTAAAGGGGCATATCAATGCTAAATGGATCAGTGATTCAGATGAGACAAAGTCCATTGGTGGTTATGTGTTCACTCTTGGTGGGGGTGCAATATTATGGAAGTCTACACAATAGATTATTATAGATCAATCCACCATGGAGTCCGAGTTTGTTGCCTTGGAGATGGCAGGCAGTAAGGCTGAGTGGCTTAGAAACCTCTTAGCGGATATCCCTTTATGGATGAGACCAGCTCTGTCTGTGTCTATGCTTTGTGATTGCTAGGCTGCTATAGCCTGTGCAAAGAATAAGATATACAATGGAAAGAATAGACACATAGTTGTGAGACAGTTACTTAATGATGGGATAATATCCCTTGAATACGTGAGGTCAGAGATGAACTTAACAGATCCTTTGACCAAGCCATTAGGTAAGAAACTAGTGCATGATACATCGAGGGGAATAAGACTTGTGTCTATTTCAATGGGTCAAGAGTGATGGTAACCCAACCTATGTGATTGGAGACCCCATGAAGTTGGTTCATATGGGTAGTAACAAGTTACTAATTGACCTGGTGAGCACTATAACTCTTTTGATTATGTTCCTTCCTATGGTGTACACAGTGTTAATGTTATATACTGTAATGGTTAAGGGTTGAGCTATGCTCTTAATGAATTCCATATCCCTTATGGGTGGTGTGCTTAATTGCAGTGCACACTTAATGGATTCACCTATATGAGTGTGAAGTGGGGCCGCTTCTATGAGAACTAAGACATGTTCTCTAGAGCACTCATGAATGTCTAGGTAGGGCGCATGGCCTATTAGTGCCAACCTGCGCTGAACAGCTTGACCAGAGAAAGTACAATGTCGGTGGTAAATTTGTTGGCTCACACTTGAGATTTGTGGTTCATAAAAAATTTCCATTTCACCATATTTTCTTGAATCATAACTTACTTATCCTAGTTTTGGTTCATAGCCCAAATGACACCAAATGCGAAGCATTGTATTCTCGTTGATTAGCCCAATTTTTTTTCTGTATCATCTTTTGAAATATGTGGGGGATTATTGTATATTAGAGAACATGGCTATTTCAAAATTCAGATAAGCTTTTAAACTTTAATTTTAACTTTCTCTTGATTCTTGCTGACCCGTGGCTGTTACATATGCAAAATAAATTGCACAATATCATTTGATCGTTGCTTCCTTGATTGCCTCATCAAGTATTTTCTTTCCTTTTATTCACCTTGGGCCATAGTATATAAAGTGTTGCTTGGGACAATTGCAAAATAGAACAAGTAAACAATTCTTCTTTCCGGGTTTGCTCATCGAAGCCATCCTAAGCCAAAGACATCAAGTTTTCTTTAGTCAAAAATTCGAAAGCCTTCTTCTGTCGTTTTCACAAAATTATTTCTTCATTAATATTTTGATCTATTTAAGTATTGGAATAATATCAAGTCAAAGTTGTTCCTGACTTCTCACATTACGAGTGCATGTTTGTGAGAAGCGGTCATTATATCTTGGAAGGTAGTCACAATTGTCTTGTTGCACCGAGTTTTGTACTCCGAAGAGTGAAATCTATCCTTAATGACAATGATTACTCAGTGTTAATGGATTGATTTTTGATTAAAAAAATAACAAAAACTAATAAAAAGATTATATTGTAACACTTTTGATACATTAAAGGTACAACATGAGAAATTTAATCTTTGAATATATAAATTAAAAAAATAAAATATTTTAAGATACAAAATATGAAAAATTAAAAATATAAATACATGAATTTAATTAGCAAAAAATATATATATATTTGCATGGAAGTTGTTCACAAGTAAGTTTTAAAGTAAGATATGCATCACAAAACAGAAAAGTGATAGAGAGTTTGTGGGGCCGTTTCTATCGGTGCATTTGGTAGCACTTTTTAAATGGAATTTTGAATCTTAAGTAGTCCATTTAGGAAAGTCCGATTAGTATATTATTTTTGGGTTCAGGAGGCCGGTACCTCCCTAAATATTTAATAGGATAAAAATATATTTTTAAAAATAATTGAATAGAAGTACATCTGCTAAAAAAAGTCATAAAAGCCCTATTACTCATACTATAAATAGTTTATATCTAACTGAATGTGAGACTTTCAAGATTAAAATGTGAGATTTTTAAGATTCTTTTTAATATTTGTATATTTTTTGTATTTTAAAATTTCATATATATAGATATATATATTCACACACATGTGTATATATGTATATATATACACGTGTGTGTATATATAATAATAATAATAATAATAATAATAATAATATTAAACAGTAACACGCTTAACCAAAAAATAATAACATCAAACAGTAACACATTTAATAACAAAATAGTAACATTATATATATATATATATATATATATATATATATATATATATACACACACACACACACATAATAACAATAATAATAATAATATTATTATTATTATTAAAAAGTAACACACTAAATAAAAAAATAATAACATCAAACAGTAACACGTTTAACAAAAAATAATAATATCAAACAGTAACATCAAATATTAAATTTTTAATTAAATTTTTTTTTATTGAATATGCTACTATTTGATGTTACTATGTTTTAGTTGAATGTGTTCTTTCTTGATGTTACAATTTTTTTGTTGAGCGCATTACTGTTTGATAATATTACTATTTTTTTGTTAAGTGTGTTACTGTTTGATATTACTATATATATATATATATATATATATGTATGTATGAAATTTTAAAATTTAAATAATACACAAATATCAAAATAAATCTTAAAAATCTCACATTATAATATTTAGATATTGAAAATATAAAAAGTATCAATTAGGCATGTACTATTTATGGTAGGGGTAATTATGGAATATATTTTAAAAAAAATTTGAAAAAATTTTAAAATATGTACTTATTGACAACTATTTAATAAAAAAGAGAACTTAAAGAAGGATAAATTTGAAGGTATTATTTAAAATCAAATAAGTTTAAAAAAAAGTACTCACATCCCATTATCTATATTATTTTTCATTAATTTGCCATAGTTGATTAGGAATTAAAGATTTAAATTTTAGAAACTAAATGAAAATCCAACTTAGTAGTTGATTAGGAATGAAAGATATTTTTAGAAACTCATTAAGCACAGTCTTTGAGGGTAAAATCGTCATTCAGAATAAATCAACCCTTCGAACGCAAGCAACTTCCAGAATAGTATTATTAATGCTTTTTTTTTTAGGAAAGTCATTGTTTATATCAATAACAATCAGGGGTAAATTCGTCATTTTGTCAAGTCAAAGTCGGCACACAACAAAACAAATACGCGTCAACAGATAGATTGTGTGAAGCCGCTATTACAGTTTCTCTCTGAAACGCCTCTACCTCCCACACTCGAATAGTAATCACTCTCACTCTCTCAGTATCGCAACCGACGAAGGGGGGGCGCTTATGCCCTTCTATCTCTCTCTGACGTCAGTTCTCTGCGATCAAGCTTTATTGGGTACAGGAATCGGTGAATCGAAGTGCTTCAGAGTTATACAAGTTGGTTCCGGTGAGAGCTCATCTTCGATATCGTAAACCCTATTTTTTTTGCTTTTGTAAAATTTGTTGTATCAATCTTTCGTAGAATTCATGTTTTTAAATTAAATTAAGTTGTGGGTATGTGATGATTCTCTTTCTTTTTGAACTTTCTCGCTCTCTGATAAAGAATTAAATTTTTTGGATTGTTTCCCATCGATCTTTTACAGTTTTGTACATTAAGATATACATTCCCGTCATTGCCTCGTGCAGTAGCATAAAGGCCGCCCTAACATTCGCTGGTTTTTTGGGTTTGATAAAGACGACATTTGCTTAATACGAGTAGTGTTGAAGTGCCAAGTCGAATGTCTATATTCAGTTCATGCCTCCTAGCATGACCCTAAAATAATTTATGGGTACGAAGTTTTTTATTTTTTGGAAATTTTGCGTTAGTTTTTTTTTTCTGGAAATTTTCCTTTAGTTTGTCTTGAATTTTTTGCGTTGGAATACTATTTTTGATCATCTGTTTGATTGCTTGGCTTTGATAAATTATGATTTATTTACGAACTTCGTGAATTATGGTGAATTGAGTCTCTCGTTCTTTATTTTTTTTGGCGAATGTGAAAGGTGAAATTAATTAGATTAATTAATTGATTTGAAATTTTTTTTAAATATTTTTTCTAGTGATTAGATTACTAGAAATTTTGCCTAATACGGAATTGGCCATGGAACTTCTTTTTTTTTTTTTGATTTATGAACGAGTTTTAAGTTTTACGAGCATTATCAGCTCCTTTTACCTTTTTCTTCAATCCTAATTGTTGGATAATTATCTAAGATGGGTTTATTGATTTATGCAATTATGTATATCTTTCCAAATCAAATTGGATTTGTAGTATCAAGTTTAATATAGTTAAATCTTTGCTCAGGCTAGCTAATTCTAGATATATTACTCTACTCTATGTATGGTCCATATGTCTCATTTAAGCTTGGAGTTGTTGGGAAATAATGTCTTTTATTTCAATATCTGCTTTTGAATGATCAGTCGTCGTGTGTAGGTAAAGGGTCATCCATCTTTGTTTTTAATCTGAACCATAAGTGTCATGTTGTTTGTATATAATCGTGTAAATGATGGAAATGTTATTTGAGAGATGGGAATTTATGTTCACTTCTTCCTGGATGATTCTTTGTGGTTCTTATTTGGTGTAAATTTATATGCAGTGGCTGTTGCATCATCTTCTTTTGCTGTTCGTGGCAATCAGGAAATCTGAGTGGTTCCCCACTATGACTGTTGCCGAGAGTATTGTAAAAAAGAAGTTGAAGATTAAAATTTGTGCCTCCAAAAAAGCTGAATCTGAGCCAGGGACAGAATCATGTGAAGTTGACCAGCGGGATTTCATGAATGATAAATGTGGTCGCATACTTTCTGTGAATGTAAACAATAACTCTGAGACGAACAAATCACAGAAGTTTATAATTGGTTCTTCTGAAGATTCAAAAGTGAATGTTGTTGATAGCTTGCAGCTGAAATTAACCATGGGATGCTCTAATAAGCGTCGACCACCAGGAATGGTAGACGATCAAATGAATAAGAGGCAGAAAATTGATCGGAGGGTAAAGCAGCAGTGTAGTAGCATTCTGAACACGTTGATGAATCATCCTTATGCATGGGTTTTCAACAAACCAGTGGATCCTGTGGCTCTCAATATTCCAGATTATTTCTCTATAATCTCTCAACCAATGGATTTGGGAACGATTAAAACAAAATTGGAGGGGACTGTGTACTTTAGTATTGATGAATTTGGCGCTGATGTTCGACTGACCTTTTCCAATGCTATGCTGTATAACCCTCCTTCAAACAATGTTCATCACATGGCAAAGGAATTAGATAAAATCTTCAGTGGAAGATGGAAATTGCTAGAGACAAAATGGAATGGTGAGAGAAAAAGCATTGAACATTGCATATCAAGTGGAAGAGCAAAGAATACCCTAGATACAAGGCAGGCTTGCCATAAAGGTTCTCCGACTCGTGTTAGCTTGATCCCCAAGAGTTCAATGTCACTTAAGAAAAAGCAAACACAGAGAAAGGAGTGTTTGGAAGCATCGAAGGGTTCCTTTCTAGTTAAAGCTGCAAAGGTAGCATACTCGTCGAGGCAGTCAGTGTTTCTGACATCCATGATTTTCTATGTTTTTCTTTGTTTTTTTATACTCATTCTTCTCTACCATCTGCCTGATTCTATATGTTTTTCTTCATCAGTTGGAGCCTGTGAAATTGACAGAAAAAATCAGGCGCCCATTTATTCAGAAGTTTGCCACTAAAGGTATGAAGTGATAGAATACAATTTCTGCTCTATGGCTCTTCATTGGAGCTAACTGGCAATGTGTCTTATAGGGACAGATAGTGGTCGCAGTGCTTGTAACTTTGCCTGTGCTGAACCACCATTGAGCTCAGTCGGGTCCAAATGTGGTTCGTGTGATGGTGTGATGTGCCTGTGCGACCCTCAAAATTATTCATCCTTCAGTGGTTAGTAGATTTCTTTATGTTGCCTCTCTACTCGAGATTTTTTGTTAATCAACTCATTTGCATCTTGGTTTGGTTCAGATGTGTCTTCAGAAAGATCACTGGGACAAGATCGTGGGGATCCTTTGAAAATGGTAAAGATCATAATATACTTGTAGATTTCATGACTTTGTCTTGAGGTTGATTCATTTGATTGGCATATTACTCAAACTATAGTTGACACCATTGAAACTGGTTCCAGGATTGTGAGAATAAAAACATGCCAACATTACACAAGCGCAAATCAGACGCAGGTTCTGATGGTGAGGATGCTTGTCATGTATGGTTTTTTTGGTGTTTTGATTGTTTGAGTTTTGACCTGATGATGGGAATGATATGAAGGTGCTGTAAGTGCTTTGGATGAAGAAATTAGTTGTTCTGGTCTTCATTTTTCAACTTTTGCCACAAGTGCTGCTTCTGGACAAGGTTAGCTTGTTGTTATATAATTGTTGAATTGTTTAGCAGTGTTATCCAATACCTACAAACTTTGATTTTGTTGCTGGTTTCTTGGTTTACATTGGACTCCAGTTATTGATGTTCAGCTGTCCCCAAAGAAGGCGTTACGTGCTGCAATGTTAAAGAGCCGCTTCGCAGACACTATCTTGAAAGCAAAACACAGGACATTATTGGATCATGTAATCCTTCATTTATTTTTTGATGTAACACTGGCATGCAAATTTACTATGTTCTTATCTTTCTTATTAGAAGTTAGGTAGAGGTATAGTGTGAGTTGTTGCTTATTGCGGCTGTGATCTAATCATTCAGGGCGATAAAGCTGACTCGCTAAAATTGCAGCAAGAAAAGGAAAAACTGAAAAGGCAACAGTGCAAAGGTGATTTAAGAAACTTTGTGCTAACCTTTCTATAATAAATACATGCACATGTTTGTACATTTTTAGTATTATATAATCGTTTTACATGTGTATGCGTTTTTGGAAAATGTTAAGGTTTTGAGGTCGTTGACTGAAACTTCTTTAAATTTTGAGATTTTGCCCTGTTGGTAACTTTATCCTGAAAATTTCTGTGACTTTTAAATGAAATTTGTAGAATATAAACAATTAAGGGTTTTCCAAGTAAGGTCTAGAACAGAACTGGTCAAATGGAAATTGCAATATTCTGATCTATGTTATGGGCAATATATCTAATAAAGATTAGGAAGGAGAGGGCAGAACACTAATGGTGTCATTATGAATTTTGATGCAATAATTTTTTGGCAGTGCAATGGTGCTTAGGTGTTTAATATGAAGGACATCTAAATCTCCACCCTTTTTTATTAAGGTCCTTTTTCTTCAAATTGAGGCTTTATTTTTGGAGTGTTGTTCCATTTGTCGATTTGACATGTGGTGTTGGTCCACTTAATCACTTTTTCTGAGTAGTCTTTGTATTCTATTGTGGTTTGCAGTTATTTTCTGAGTAGATGTTCAATATAAAAGAAATCTGTATCTTCATCTTTTTCATTTAAAGTCCTTAGGTGCTAAGCGAAGAATAAATGAAAGAAAAAGGTTGCTCTCTTATTTCTTTGAGTTGAGGCTGCATTTTTGGAGTGTTTTTAAGTGTGTGCATTTGAGATGTGGTGTGGGTCCTTTTAATTGCATTTTTTGAGTACCTTGCTTTATACTGTATTATGGTTTGCAGATGCTTTGCATCTGGATCGTCATTTTGCATTTTTATGACTTCACCTGGACAATTTATTGCTGCAGCCTGCAGCTTTATGTTTATTCTTGGTGCAACTTCATTTTTGTATTTTAGTAGTTTTTTGTATTAGGCCATCTGGTTTTAAGGACTTCTATTGCATCCATGGTTAACAAATCCTTTTCTTTACTTTTGTTATCTTTAGTTTCTGTACGTTCCTGAAAATTATTAAAAAGAAATAATAACGGTGACGACAACGACAATAAATAATTGTACTTGTCCCAAAATTATGATATAAAGGAACTATAGGCATTAAATGCAGACTTATATCTCTGCTTCTCTGTTTATCTGCTCTGTCATGTTTCATTCAGACGTTTCTGATCCTGTATTGGATAGTACATGATTATTATCCTACCTTACCACAATTATTTGACCAGATTGATGAGCGACTTTGCTTTGGGCCTGGGGCTTTTCTTGTCCTTTTGCATTCATGTCATTTCGTTTTTGAACACATGATGTCTACTCCATGCTCAAAACCTCTTTCTCAATGTGGAAGTCATGAATATGTTTTACCTTCCCCATTGTTTTCATTTTTTCTTGGGTTTTAAATGCTTTCAGGCCACTTGATGCTGCATCATGTAATAATGTTACTCATTGTTGCTGGTGTTATTAAATATATTAAATAGTATATGTAAGAAGCCACTACATTTTGTTCACTTTGCTGATGAAAAAAACTACTAAACAATGTTAATTTTTTATGCCGTTCTTAATTTTCTTGTTTACAGAGAAGGCTAGAATTGAAGCCCAAATTAGAGCTGCTGAAGCAGCCTCACGATTGAAGGTGGAGGCGGAATTGAAAATGCAACGCTACAGAGAAAGAGAAGCTGCCCGAGTTGCATTGCAGAAGGTTTGTTTTCATTTCTTACGTTCAGTATTATCTTTTCATAGTGGTTAAAATCTATTTTGTAGGCCATTTGAAAAGGATTGATGCTGATGTTTCCCTTTCACCAGATGGAAAAGACCGTCGAGATCTATGAAAATTTAGACATATTAAAAGATCTCGAGATGTTAAGCCAGTGTTCGTTGTCTAGTCATTGCCTTGACGGTGAAGAAGATGGGTGGTCTGGAATCGTATTGGGAGCAGCCAAGGGGGGTCGCTCTGCGAATGCTTTGGAACGACTTGGTTTGTATATAAAGGATGATCATCTAGTATATGAGGACTATGAGACGATTTTGAAGGGAGATGGAGAAGAAGGGGAGATTTTATCGTAGCATTGCTATACTTTTGGTACCTCTTTCCATTTCTACCTCTTTTTTGGTACCTCTGTTTATAGTTGTAAATAGATTATTCTGTATAGGAGAGATGGTCGATTTGAATAGGAAATATTGGAATCTATATTTTTTTTAAGTGTAATATAAGTCTGACTGATAGATCCAGTTTAGATGGGTAATCAATATGGAATGGGTTGAGTCCCATTTACTAATCTAATCACCCTAGTACATTTGGTGAAATATTTGATAAGTACATCGTTACTCTGAAGATAAACCTCATTTGTGTGGGATAATTTTGCACAAGGAATCATCACCTCGTATAAAGCAGAGATGATGGTAAGAAAATTCAATTCTAGTCTATGCACTTCATAATCTTCTTCGACTTGCGATATGACTCAAGCATTTGAGTCTTTTTGGCCACCTCCAATCATCAATTCGGAGGTCTTTATTTATAGTGATAAAAAGCTTTATGTCAAAGGAACTCAAAGTCTAAGTTGTGATAAAATTAACCTCATCACCGGTTCCTCAAAGTTCAAAGTATATTGTACTAGGATTCTTGCTCCTAGGTGTCGTATCACCAACTCCTAGATGTTCAGAATAGTATTACATTATGATTCTTGGTCTTAGGTTAAACCTTAGTAGAACTGGACTCATCAAACAGAGGTGGACAAGCATGAGGAGTGGTGCGGGGATACTTAATGGGTCGCGGTAAGCTGCCTGTTGGTTGGTTGGGTCCCTTAGGAGGGCTGCCAGTAGGCTAGACTCCGCTTGTGAGTAGGGATGTCAATGGATCGAAGCGGGGGCCGGAAGGGTATAATTTTCATCCCCATACCCGCTTAAAAAAATTTCGTCCATTTTCAGTCCACTCCCGTTAACGGGGATAATTTTCATTCTCATCCCCGTCCGCGGATAAATTTTTAATCCTCGTCCTCGTCCCCGTACACGCCCAAGCCCAAACCTAAGCTTAATCCCAAACCTAAATTCAAGCCAACATAATCTAAAATTCTAAATAAATTTAACATTTTAAATAATCCAACAATATTCTAAATAATCTAACAATTTAAATACTATGTTAATAAAGATGTGTGGACGTGGTGGTATTGAGATGACGTAGTTGAATTTGTCGCCCCATGTCGCAAAACCTTGACATGGTTACTGAGGGATTAAAGAATTGTGGGAAGCATGATCTAGCTAAAAAAATAGAGCAGCTGGAAATATCTCTTCGGAGTTATTGAATATGTTTTCTCTCTTTTGTAAATGTACATCACTAAGACTCAGGGTAAAACAAAACTAGTGAACTTCTGGTTTCAACTAGTGTCTAATGCTTGATTGGTATGTTTGTATTTGTTTCTCACCTCCATTATCTAGTGATTTTGTATCTAATCAAAATTTGAAAGTTTTTACACCCATCGTAGTATAATTATAAATATTAGTCATGCTAGGTGGCTTCCATTTGTTGTCTAACACGAAGGCTACCTCACATTGCACTTTTCTTTATCATATCTATTGTTGGTATGATTATTGGTTTGGTTTTCTGCTATTTGCTTGATTATTGCATTACCCAGCCTTATACACTTATTTGGATTTAAAATGAACTTAACTTTTCCCATTACGTTGCTGCATGTGTTGGTAAGGAAAGTTGAAACCAGAAAAGAGTGCCTAGTAGACATCTATAAAACACAGCAAGGAAGTAACAATAAATAATAAAGTGCTATGTTTAACGGGTATAACGGGGACAAGACGGGGGTAAGGGTATAGTCCATCCTCGGTCCAAATGAGACGGGTTTGGACGAATATCTGTTTTTTTTTATCCATTGTCATCCCTACTTGTGAGATATTGGTTGGCACTTGCCAAGTATAGGGCCCCACAATTGCCCCCAATGCTTCTTGTAAGGGCTAAATTCTTTGCAAATGAGCCTTCGTTGCCTAAAAGATTAGGGCTTTAAGTTTCTTTCTCTTCTTTTATTTACTTACTCCCCATTGTGTCCATTCACTTGTTTAATAGGTTGGAGCTTGGCTGATATTGATAAAGTAGAAACATTCATTGTTGTTTGTACACTGGATTTACTTTGAATTTACTTTGTTTATGAGCTAGTTAAACGATAAAATTTCTTGAGAGTCGGACCAAGTTTGATAAGGTCAAGACAAATATGCTTGAAGATCAACTTAAGATGCATTCGGAGTGTGAATCATGTAGTTTTATTTTTTTAGGACAAAATTGATCTCATGGAAAAAAATATGAAAAATAATATACAAGACAGAGACTGTAATGGTTCTTTCAGGCATTAAGTTATTGTTGTTAGTCAATTTAGTCCACTTGAAACTTGGAAGGGACCATGGGCATAATTAGAGGGCTAAAATTGTAATTAACCCTGCTTTTTTCTTTGCAAACTGTCTTGGAGGCACACCTAAACAAAGAGTTGCTGAGTGAGTAGAAATTTTCTGGACAGGCAGGTGTTCTATAAAAGTAAATTTGGACGATTATTCTAATAAATTGTAATCTGGCCTGAGTCCCAGGATTCATCATCGATGCCTCACGTTTCATCGCTCCGTGCCTCAATTCATGAATAGGGCTGTTAAACAAGTTAAATTTGCATATTTTTTTAAACTCGTTTATATGTAAAAAGTTAAATGAATCAGCTCGTTTATTTATAAATAATTAAATTATTAATTTCAAATTCAGGTCGATTAACGTCTCTATTCATGAACATGTATATACGTGGTGCAAGTGTAGTAGCATTCATAATTTGCAAACCAATAGAGATTTTGTTTTTTTGACAAAGTTACTTTTTGCAGTGTTACCAATGTCATGTTTTTCTCAAGTATTATGAGTATCTCCGACTATAACTCAAATTTGAATAATATTTGAGTAAAAATCTTGATTTGATATAAAAAACTTTAATAGACAGACTCAAATTTAGAGAAGGAGAAACTCAAATTTAAATGAGAGTAAACCCAAATTTAAAAGGGAGTAATAATGACCATTGGATTTTTAAAAAATAATAAAATTTCAACATTAAAGATTTGAGTCTCCCTTGATATGAGTAAAAAAAATGAGTTTCTCTTAATTTGGTATAAGTTTGAGTTAAGGGTTGGAACAAATTTTTAAAATTTTTTTACTCAAATTTAAATTTGAGTTTAAATTTAAATAAGACTCGGAGATGCCTAAGAACACATATTCTTTGGCCTTCACGTTGGTAACCGTCCCTAAACTTAAGTCTAGATAAAAAAAAAAAAAAGAAAAAAGAAAAAGAAGGGTGGGGATCCCTTTACTGTTCAACACTGGTATTATTTTTTAAAACGGTTTCGTTTTGTGTGCGAAAACTCATCAATTTGAGGAACAGCTTCTCGAGATGAATTTTAAATTATTAATTTTTTATATTGGTGATGTTTTGTGTGTGAAACACCGTTAGTTTGAAGAACAACTTCTCCACAAGAGAGAGAGAAATTTTAAATTATTACGCGCGTACAAACTTCAAGAGTCTGTATGTAATTTTTTAAACTTCAAGGAGTCTGAATAATTAAACAATAAATTTCAAGAGAGTTGGATGTAATTCTCCCTTCTTTATATATATATATATTTGTTTTTTTTTGGAAACGGAAAAATCCCATGATTTGTTCTTAGCGAATAAAGGTGCATTTATGTCGCTCAGGCTCGTAACTCTAAGTAGAACCAAAGACAAACTCTGGGTGTAAGAACCGGTCTCTCAACTCATATACTAATTCAAACGGGACTTGCGTTTCGCCGGAGACTCAAGACCAACACTAGAAACTTGAATACAGTTGATCCAAGTAACTAAAGTCTTATCCTACCAAACAGACACGCTTATACGCTCAGGAAACTTCGAATCCCCAACCTCCACTGAAAAGCCAGAGGCTCTGGCCAGCGGCCGCTTCTGATCCCATTTTATTATCTCAACCCATCTCGTTCAGACACAAAGAATCACCAATATAAATGTAAAAATTTTTAAGTGAGAAGGTGTAAAAGTATGACGAGTGGTTACATAGGCAACTTGGAAAATTTTCAATAAACAAAATCTTATTATTCTATTTAATAAAATCAAAATTCTAGAAACAAACAAAACAAGATGCGAAGGCCTGACAAGGCCTCTCCTAATTAATTTGTTTGTTATCTAATATATATTAGCGGCAGGCTCGAACTATACACAGAATTTACGATTCTTCCTAATCCTTCTATATTTTTTACCTGGTAATTTGAAATGTTCAATAATAATTATGATAGATTATGGAGTGATATACATAATTTTTTTTTAAAAACTTCAAATATGTGGTAGTTTTTTCGCTAAATTGAAGGGTGGTTAGGGGCGACCAGACATAGCAATCCCCATAACGTTATCTTGAAATTTCTGGTAATTTTTTTTATAGAATATTCGATTTTGAGTTATAATTATTGATTTGGGATGGTTGAGTTCGTCATCACAACACCACTAACGGCAAGCAGGACATTTAGCCCCTCCAGTAATATCTGATTCACAAGAACTACTATTATAAATGGATTCGAACCCATGACCACTAAAGAAGGGCGAGACTTTCCCCCTTACTAAATACAACTAGGCTACCACCTCAGTGGTCAAATGTATGGTAATTAATTAGTAGGCGTGGAGAGTAGTTACAGTGACACGTGACAAAATGTGAATGGATAAAATCATATGTTTTTTTTTATCAAAAAAATGAGAGAGGGGCGACCAGTAAATAGTGACCTCCTCTGGCCGTGACCATAAAGGTCTTCTCTGATGTGAAATGTTCTGTTAGCCATAGCCACAAACCCTTTTAGAGTAGTTCGTCACCACACCACCATCGAAGCCTAAGTAACAAGGCATAAGAATCTCGTGAATCAAACCTTGCTTGATAATCACTTGTAGTCAAGGACGACTCTAAAATGAACATGCTTTATCACTAGACTATAAGCTATGGTGCTAATAAAATCATATGTTGAAACAAAAAAAAAATTCTAAGAAAAAGAGAAATGGATAGGGAAGGCCATCTACCTCCCAAGCCCTGCCCACCTAATTTGATTGTAATAATATATACTATATATTTAGATATTCATAATATAATACTTAAGTCTCCTGTGGACTCTATTGCTAACCCAACTAATGGTCTTTTATCTTTGTCCATGCATTGATAGGAGTAAGGAATCTAAACTCGTCAGGACTCCTATAATTATAA